CTGAGACCTGGCATCCTGAAAACCTTAATCTGAGACCTGGCATCCTGAAAACCTTAATCTGAGACCTGGCATCCTGAAAAGACCAGACACTGTGTTCGAACATCTTACACAGCTTATTCCCTGCATGTTTTACGTCCTTCATCAAATAAATAAATATTCTGTATTTGTTAAGGACTTACTGAAAGACTCCGTTGTAAACCAGGATCTGGGCTGCCAGAGTTGCCAAGAAAGCGATGCTGACCCCGAGACCAAAACCACTGCGGGAGCGGTCAAAGGTCCACCATAAACCGATGGAGAGTGCTGCTAAAGTCAGAGACAGCTGTGCATTGTTAGCAAAGTCTACCTTCTGAAAAACAAGGAGGTCAAGGACCAAACTCATGTTGGCTACGAGCAAAGAGCTTTCATATAAAGTAGCTGTCATATTATAAAAAGAAGAGGTCAGGATTTGTTTGAGTTGTTCTCAATGGAAGAGTTGAGATTTAAGATGATTTCTAAAGTGACAGCCTTGTTCAAACAACTGCTTAAAGCCACTTGTAAAGCTCAAACTGAAGACACCAAGATGTTCTGTGTCCTGCAGACAAATCTGAAGTCCCACGGATGATTCAAAGTTCACCAAGAAGGTTCAAAGTCTAATGGGAAGGTTAGAGGTCAAACAAAGAGGATCAAGGTGCACTGAGAACGTTTAAAGTCTAACGGGAGGGTCGAAGGTACAACCTTGAACCTTCTCCTCAAAGTTCAACCCTCCTACTGGACCTTGAACACACCGTTGGTCCAACAGGAAGCTTAATTTTACAGATGGTACCTGAATGCACTTTTACAGCAAAGGGGCGACGTGACTGAGACGACTCTGGTTTCATGAAAGGCAGATTCTGTCCAACAGCAAAGTTTCTGATATTGTACTGCCCATCTGTCCTGTAACAGCAATCTCCTCTGAATAAGACTTCGTTTAGATTAACACGTTTCCATACAAGGTCACAAATTCCACATATTAAAGATCCTATTAAAGATCATAATAGATCCTATTACAGATGAAAGGATACAGCACTAGCATGGTTGATACCAACAAATACAGCCACGCAGCGCATCACACTCGACCACTCCCGCTTGAACTTGTGTGGTGTTCCGAGCCGACTGTCGATGCAGGGGTACAACAAGCCGATCACTGCTGCAGGGAGGGAAAACAGCAGAATGATGGGTAACAAATAAAACACTGACGCAACATCGATGGTTCTCTTCTGTGCTTTTATTACATTTATGGAAACATCACAGAACAGGTCCACCAGTTTTTCTGCCGGGCATCACAGAGGCCAGCACTATGCTTGATGTGGTGGTGGAAGCACCCGGTACAGAATCAGTTCATGTAAAGGATCACTGCTACCGGCAGGTAAAACAACAGTTGTAGTTTGATAATGAGCTTGACTTCTCCTCAGTGTTAGCTCATCAGCCATACGTGTGAAGAACCTCTGACCCAGGACGTGCAGCTTTTCAACAGATTAATTTTGTACTGTCAACAAGATGCAGCAGCTCTCCCAGAGCCGTGGTCTCAGAGGATGTGTTGAAGCGTGGTGCCGATGAAAGCTCGTCTCTGGGGAAGACGAGAGCCTCCAGGTTGCAGTGGTTTGTAACTGAGCCACTTGGGATGGAGCAGCGCATCCAGCTGTTTACCACGGAGACAAGAATCAATAAAGCTGTGAAGCCTGGTGGTATCAGTGTACAGGTACACCTCCGCATGCCTTCTTGATATAAATTTATAGAATTACGTGAAGCTGCTTTAACGTCTGAACAGCCGTGTCACATTTCACACACTACCAGCTGTCATGGGTGCCACGACTGCAAACATCTAAATGCAGGTCTGCACGGCCTCCGTGTGTATTCTGAACGTGCTCCATCAAACCACCTTCGGAGGTGGTCTAGATCCATTTATTGTCCACCGTTGCGAAGCGAAACACTGTCCGTCCGTTCAAGTTGTGAGATTGCAACTTCCATTTTGGTGTGTACTACACCATCTAGGTATAAAAATGGTTGCCACTTCAAAATCCATGATGGTCAACATGAATACATGTAAACCTGCCAACGCAACCATTTGAGGAAACGTTGTTTTCTACTTTTTAATCTGCTTAAAGGAATACATTCCTCAAAATGATAGGGGTGGCCCTTAAGGTGCCCTCTTACATTAATCTGTGGAGGCCGTGGTCACCATTGGCCCCCTTGTGGCTCCCCCACTGCACCTGGTGGTGGATACATTCGCTCCCTCCACTCACCAGGACTTGTAAATTTACATGAAAACAAGTGAGGTACGGACGTCCATGTTGGTGTGTGGGTGCATCTAGGTTTAAAAAAAGGTCGTAATAAAAAATTACGTTGCCATGTTCAAATCCAAGATGGCTACCGCCCCATATACCGGCACATGTAAACTGAAGCTCTGTTTGGTATTTGTATAAAGTTAGAGAAATATGGATGTCAAATGTTTACATATTTTGTTCATATTCATGTAATTTTGTGTATAAAATTATATTTTAAACCAATCTAAACCCAATATTTAAACTTTAAAAAGAGCTATCTGTATAATACATAAAACCTTAAAAAAAAAACCAATCTTTTTTTGTTTTAGATTATTCAGATTTACATATTTTTTGGGACAGATGAGCTCAACGGGACTAATCAAACAACGAAAACTTTAATATGTGTCGTAAGAGTTTCTCAGCTGTAATATCAGGACATCAAACAGCACAGAGGAGCTGGGAGAAGTATCTCTAACGCTGCAGAGCGCTCTCTGACTCACCTGAGGCGGTGCCACAGCAGGGAGGCACCCACCACGCCGAGGAGAAGATACTGCTGATGACGTCTGGAGGGAAAAGGGTGACGTTTCTCTGCACCTGAAGTAAATTCAACACCAGAGCCAAGAAGACGCCCACGGAGAACAGCATTCCTCCTCGGATGAACAGGTTAGTGGTCCTGGAAAGAAACGTATTAAAGACAACTGATGGGAACGAGCCATGGAAAATGAGGGTGCCACCACTGCAATTCCTGGTGGATGCCAGAAGACATGCAAATTCAAAGAATGCTGAGCTGACCTATTAGTGATGGCTGAGATATACGGACCACGAGGACACTGCAGTGTCTCCGTGGGACCCGGCCGTTGCTGCTGGTCACTGGACACTGCACCGCTGCTCATGGTGGTCAGTGTTCGGGACATTCAGAAGACCGGGTCAGAAAAAATGGGGAATGATGAGTAAGCTCCTTTTCCACAGCTGGGTGCAGTGTGACATCCTGACATCCAAAAACACAAAAACATTATTATTAGCAGGGAACATCCACCTGTTCCCTGTTCTCACCACAGATCACAATGTCATCTGCAAACATCATCGTCCACGGGGATTCCTGCCTGACCTCATCTGTTAGTCGGTCCATCACCAAAGCAAACAAGAAGGGGCTCAGAGCAGATCCTTGATGCACTCCCACCTCCACCTTGAAGCTATCTGTCACTCCTACAGCACACCTCACCCCTGTCCTGCTGTCCTCATGCATGTACTCCTGTCCTCATGCATGTCCTGCTGTCCTCATGCATGTCCTGTACCAGTCTAACATACTTGAGTGAGTGCAGCTACAGCGTGCGCTCTCAGGACATCATTACCTGCAGTGTTCCCTCAGTGAGGACTGAACTAGACAAAAGGACCTTCTCCTCCTCCGCTCCTGTTTCCTGGAAGATCTTGCAAAAAGACCTGAAGCTCTCGACCTTTGACCTCTCTAAGTGGCTTTAAGAATCTGTTGGACTCCTGGCAGGGACCAACGCAGACATGTTCCTGTTTTTAGTTTCTACATTCACCTTAGAATCTAGCTGTTTTTTGTTACTTTTCTTTTTTTAGCCATCCTACTTGTTAAAAAAAAAAAAAAATCTGTATGCCTTTTTATAACCGTTTATTGTTGTCACTGTTGTCCATTGTTGTCATCTTTCTTTGTTGAAATCAGGTCTCTCTTGTAAATGAGTCCTCGAGGCTCAACGGGATTTACCTGTATAGATAAAGGTTGAATGAACTTCTCTGCCACTCCAGATCTCCTCATGTAACACCACACCTCCTCCCTCTGCACTCTGTCTGATACTTCTTCTAAATCCACAAAGACACAATGGAGTTCTTTCTGACCCTCTCTGTTCTTCTCCATCAACATCCTCTAAACAAAGATGGATCTGTGGTGCTCTTTCTCTTTCTTGACATGAAACCATCCTGCTGCTCACAGGTAGTCACCTCTAATCCAAGTCTTGCTTCCACATCTCTCTCCCAGATCTTCATTGTGTGGCTCATCAACTTAATTCCCCTGTAGTTGCTACAACTCTGTACATCACCCTTGTTCTTCAAAATGGCCACCAGCACTTCTTCTCCATTCCTCAGACATTTTCTCACCCTCAAATATGTCATTGAATATTTGAGTTAAAACCTCACTACCATCTCTCCAAGACATTTCCAAACCTCCACTGGTCATCAGGTCCTACTGCCTTCCCCTTCTTCATTCTTTCAGAGCTTTCTGGACTTCACCCTCACTAATCTTTCCCACTTCCTGGTCCACAGTTTCTATGACCTCTACTCTTCTTTCTCTTTCATTCTCTTCATTCATTAGCTCCTCAAAGTACTCCTTCCATCTTCCCGTCACACTCTCCTCACTTTGTAAAACATTACCATTCCTGTCTTTAACAAGCCTAACCTGCTGCACATCCTTTCCAGCCTGATCCCTCTGTCTCTCCAATCAGTACAAGTCCTTCTCACCCTCTTTAGTGTCCAGTCTCCCACACAACTCATCGTACATCTTCTGCTTTGTCTTCGTCCCATCTCCTTATATTCCTGTCTCCTCTCTTCAGTCCTCTCTCTGTCATATTTCTTCTTGACTAACCTCTTTCTTTGAACAGCTTCCTGCACTTCACTGTTCCACCACCAGGTCTCCTTATCGTCCATTCTCTGTCCAGGTGACACACCAAGTACCTTCCTACCTGTCTCTCTACTGTTGCTGTAGCAGTCCAGTCATCTGGAAGCTCTTTTATACCACTCTTAAAAAGCACAATACAGATAAATATACTTTACTTTCAGACGACAGAAGTGAAAAAGGTCACCATGATTTTTTAATGTTTTTTTTTAATTACTGTTTCGGTTTTGGAGACCTTCAAATTATATTTTAACCAATAGGACTATTTTCTTCCATTGTTTTCATTTTGAATTAGTAATTTAGACATGGAGGAAACCATTGATAATGGCGTTATTAAACAAAAGGGTGATTAGTGACAGGAGTAGACTCCAGGTTCCTGCCGGGGCTTTGACCTCAGTCTGCCGGACTCCGCTTCTACAGGACAAAGACTAAACCCTCACGTACAGGGTCCAGTAGTTTCGGTGTGAAGGACAAACTACAGAACGCGTCCGGCTGACTGACTCCATGTTAGCTAGCTAGCTGAGACGCATTAGTTCGTAGCGTTTGTCGTTATAAAGTGTCTAAAGTCTTTTTTTTTTTTTACCTTATTGTGACTGAAACCGTCCCGGAACACAGTCCCACTGTTCACCAAACATTTAAAGTGCTTCACCGAGGAAAGAGCAGGACTGAAAGCATGTATTTATCTAAAAACAGCCCTTTGTTTCTCTTCTGACGGAACTTCCGGTCGCTGTGGAAGAAAACCAATCAGATTAGACGTCTATGACGTAAGCGCGTACGCAGAGCCGATTTATCACGTGACTGGATTCATTTTCCCGAAATGAATGAAATTTTCTGTTTCAGTGTTTCATTGTGTAAATTACAATATGCAGGAGAGAGAGAGAGCTGGTGTAGACGTCACATTTAGAACAATTATTTTCGAGTCTTTAAAATAATAAAGATGCTGCAGGTGGTAGATCTCCGCGGTGGAGTCTGCGTGTTCTCTCCGTGCATGCGTGTTTTCTCCGTGCATGCGTGTTTTCTCCGTGCATGCGTGTTTTCTCCGTGCATGCATGTTCTCTCCGTGCATGCGTGTTTTCTCCGGGTACTCCACTTTCCTCCCACAGTTCAAACACATGCATGTTAGGCTGATTGTCTCTATGTGTCCCTGTGATGGACTGGAGACCCGTCCTGGGTGTACCTGTGATGGACTGGAGACCCGTCCAGGATGTCCCTGTGATGGACTG